GCTGCCTTCTCTTCCCATACATACTGTCTAGCTCTTGCAGGGAAAGGCAGGAATCATAGTGGCTGTGATGGATTTCCTAAGCCCTACCAGAGCTTAGGTACTGCTCATCTAATCCACACCCTACCTTAAGAGCAAAATGTGAAATGCTGATTTAACTGCTGGATCTCACAACAGTTGCCTGTGGATCTAAAGGCTGAAATTAAATATCACTGGAGCCTCTAAAAAGTTATGCTGCTCATATATATTTCATACACAGTACACACACACACACACACACACACACACACACACACACACACACACACACACACACACACGAGACAGTACTGCAATTCTGTATTTTAGCTTTTTTCTAATGAGCTATATCAAGTATACCACATTTTCCTGATGGCTGGCCTAAACTTTCAAGCTTACAGACATAATTCGCTGCCACAGTGATGTCAAGGAGGCATAAATAACTCCTTTGAAATTGAATGGGTGGAAGGGAGGACAGATATGGAGAATAAGAGATTAGACACCTGTAAAAACAGAATGGAAAAAATGGGACTAGTTAGGCAAGACAGATGGCAAGTCAGAGAGAACATGAAATAGCAGGTAGAACAAAACAGGTAGACCCCATTCACTACCCCATAATATAATTAATGTCCTATAGAGCTCCACATGATCATAGGGGTCCACCAACATTGGGCAAGTCAAAACCAGAGATTTTATCAGACTCTCATGGGAACTAAGTCATGTAAACAGTGCTGAATTTCATGTTTAGTAAAGACTAAGAGACTCATGGCTCCCACCCAGCAAGTTGCTGCCAAACTGACTTGTACCTAAGCCTGCCCTCAGTCTCAAATGTTGCCTTGATATTCATTTTATGTGATACTTACTTTATAGTTGGGAAAGATTTTGCCTAAAGAATCATGCAGGGCTTTGTCTCACAAGAAGTATCTAGAATAGAAGACCCTTAATCCTGGACAGAAGGGCCATGTCCCCACAAGCAGGGGCATGTGGATGCTACAGGAAAAAAAGCAGCAGCACAGATTTGTGCCGCTGCTTTTTGCCCTGGAGCATGCCCCTGCATGTGGGCTTAGTGCAGTGGAAAGTGCTCCAGGTGGGGCAGGGGAGGCTGGAGCCAGCACCTGGGCTGGCTCCAGCAACCTCCCCAGCAGCCTTATCTGGGATCCTAGGGGCCTCCAGCAGCAGTGATCTCAGCACGCGGAGTATGGCCAGCAGCCACAGCATGTCTCTGGCTGGCCAGGCTCCAGTTTCAGGCAGTATACACTGCCACCATGTGTGCTGCCCCACATTTTTCTGGCACAGGTCTTTTTGACACCAGGTTCTCCCAGTGTCAAAAGAAAAAACAGAAAACAAAAAACAAAAAAAACCCCACACACTGCAAATTAGCAGTGAGGCAAATACCCTTGTGTATGGTGCGCATGGTTTGCAGTGCTGCAGATGGGTCTGCGGCTCTATAAGCAACACGTGCATGCACATCTGAACATGACTAAAACAGCCAAATTCAGGTTCTGAAAATTCTTCTTTGTTCAGGCAACTATTTAATAAGCCTCCGTGTTGCTAGAACCACCCTATCTCAGATTACAAAATGTAATTATTCATTCCATCTATGCCCTGCTCTGCTAAGCTAGACCATCACAGACTGCTTGACCCTAGAAGGCCCATTAAACCAGCACAGTTATGGCACACCATAGTCAACAACACACAATGGAACAGTTAACATGCACATTTGGCTACTTCCGACTTACCAGATCAAATAAGTAATACCATTGTGAATAAGTAAATACCATTTTGAATAATTTTGTGTCATCTGCAAATTTGGCCACCTCACTACTCACACTTTTCCAGATCTTTTATGAATATGTTGAAAAGCACTGGTCCTAATGCACATCCCTGGGGGACCCTGCCGGTTTGTTTTTTTCCATTCCAAATACTGACCAACTATACTCACTCTTTGTTTTTTATCTTTAAGATAATTTCTAATCCATGAATGGACATTCCCTGTAATCCTATGGCTACCTATTTCTAATATGAGCTCTTTCAGGGCTTTAAGGGGAAAAGCCACCAGGTCCTCTTGATTTAGTTTAGCTACTATTTAGTTTATCAATTTCATCTATGATTTTATCTCAGTTTGGGTCAGGTCCACTGGGTCAGCTCTGGTGAGGGATGTTAAGAAGTGAAAACTAAATTGAGTGACAACTAAGAGCTGGCATTTTCCAAGGGGTGGCTTGAGTATAACAAGGAGGACCTTGAGTCTAACAAGGTTGAGAAACACGGTTGTAAACTCAGTGGGGCAAAGACAGTCTTACAAATATTTGCAGTGTCTAGTACAATGGGATACTAATCATATTTGAGGCCCTTTAAGCATTGCCTTAATAATAATTCTTGCATGCAAACAGTCATATATACAGAACATTGTGAAGGACCCTAACTCAAGCACATGAGTTAATTAATGCCAGAGATACCCCTTGCAATATTATGGTATCTTTAATTACATGATCATATTCTCCTGTTTCACAGAGCACCCCAACCCGTGGGACTTTCAGGAATGCTTATAGAGTAGAGGCGTCAGCTGCTTTAAAAAAAATAAAATAAAAAAATAAAAATCAAGGGATTCTCTACCATGCACATATGAACTGTAATTTTTGCCAGATAATTGTACATTTGACAAAATTTGGGTAGGTGTTCACGTGGGCAGCCAAAGGTACATCCTGGATATAAGAGCCACTCCCTGTCAGATTTTATGTTCCCAAAGTCCAAACATGGAAGCACCAGAGCTTGTCAAAGAAAGGATCACCAGATTATTTTTTTTAAATATGGGCAAAACTTTGGATTTTTTCTTTGTCTTGTTTTTGGAAGCAGAGTGTTTTGTCTGAAAATGAATAAATGATTTGGCCTGAGGCAGATGTCTAGCATGTATTATTTCAGCTCAAATAGATCCTGGCAAAATTATAGCAAGAAACATCAGGCTACATAAATAACCTGACCGATAATAAGATAGAGCACTACTACAGGTCAAGTCTTACAAACCAATTTCAGACAACACCAGTGTTCATGACCAGACAGTAAGCTGAAAAGATCTCAGTTATAATGGTCTTGTACTATGTACATCTACAGAAATCTGTGCTAGCAGATTTTTTTTCACTCTAGTAGTTCAATTGGTTCAGGGGCAACTAGCTACAAAGAGGACACCAGAGAGTAGAGGATCAGAGGTACTGGGTCTAGAGGTTCTTAGTGTACTAGAATTCTTACGCTATTTCATCAGGAGAAAATGTTCTCATGCTCTTTCACTGCATCTCCTCTCTAGCAGTAGCAGGTGAGAAATGCTGCCAATACATTTAGGCCACATCCATCTCTTGTACACCTGCTGGTGTCCTGGTGACTAGGCCAGCTAGTGCATTGCAACTTTTCATATGCTTCCAGCTGAACTCCTTTATCTGTTAGCACTCAATGACTTTGGCTGGGCCCCACTGGAAATCAAGCATTAACCCCATGAATTCCAGCTTTTGGACTGTGAGGATATATATCCAAGTCAGGGAAAGGACCTTAAATAAGAAAGTTGCATCTTATACACACTTTAAGGGGCTTAAGTACATCCTGCACATAATATTCCAGTGATTTAGAACTCCAAATTCTCCTAATTAATAATGCTTTTGTAAATTATTAGTTGTCCCTCATTCTTATGCTGTGGGATTTATGCAATAATTTAGTTATAATTTCTTTCTTAGCCTGTTAAAATCCATCTGAAAAACAGGAACCAACAAAACACTTAAAATCCTTCTTCTGCTCCCCACATTTAGCCTATTTTTCCATCAAGTTTACCTAGAAACATCTGCAAAGACAGTTATACAGCCAGAAGTGAGGTTTTTAATTAGCAGGACTTGTGTTTTGTGTTAGCCAAGAGAAATCATTTTATATCAGGGTACATACTGCTTATGTCTTCCCAGTGCCAGTACTAGCAGTCTAGTAAATACTACTTAAATAGCACATTTATTATACCTTTAGCTTCCGTAAGCTTTTCATATAAACCTTTAGGTTTTGTTTTTTTTAAAAGCCCTTTCTAGTAAGGAAGACACCAACTTCAAAATGATCCTACAGAATCAGTACAGATAACAGCTGTTGGGCATTAAAGGCAGCTGCAGAGAAAAAAAAAGCTGTGAAGTGAACATGAAATAGCTGAAAAATACCTTCATTAAAACAACTTTCCTTAGAGTAGGAGCAAAGAAATAACCTTCTGACAACATTTTATTTTTTAAGTCTATTGCACAAAAATAGCCAACAACCCCTATATCTTTATGCTTTCAACACAAACAGCATTTCAAAAGCATACGTCTGCCTGCCTCCCCTCATTACTTAATGCTCATGCAGAACATTAAGCAATAAAGTGTTCTAACCCTAAATAAAGAAGAGATTAATTGTGCTAGGTGTTCAGCTTCCTCCACTGGCTCATTAAATGTACTTAAATTATTGAGCATTATTTTAACCCCAAGCACAGAGCTAGTTTGCAAATACCTACCCTGCCTAAATGCTGTGAATGAACTTCACTTACCTTCCTTTACTTTCTCAGGGAAGTTGTTACTCTTACCCCAGAAGTCCTTTTGTGCAAAATGAAAAGCAGATGGTTGCAATTCAGAGGAACAAGAAAATGCATCTTAATGCAGCCCACAGCATTGTAATAGCTACAGCTGATGGGGTAAAGGCTATCTGAATAGGAACATGGGAACCTACCCAGAAGCCAGTGAGATGACATTTTACCAAACTATGCTCCTATCAGGAGAGGTGGGTGGGTTATGCTATCTTTAAATTTGGCTGGAGCGCGTCACATATCAATTGCTCTTACAGCAGCAGCATATATAAAAGTTATTTCCCCTAGCAGTGACTGGCTTGCTCTATCTATCCTGATAATACCAATGGCTGATGAATTGATTGCCTCTCTGATTATAGACAATGGCTCAGGTATGTGCAAGGCTGGTTTTGCTGGAGATGATATTCCCCGTGCTGTATTTCCCTCCATTGTGGGACACCCCAGGCACCAGGGTGTTTTGGTGGGGGTGGGCCAGAAGGATAGCTATGTTGGAAATGAAGCCCAGAGCAAATGGGATATTCTTACCCTGAATTACCCCATTGAGCATGGTATCATCACTAACTGGGATGACATGGAGAAGATTTGGCACCACACCTTCTACAATGAGCTGCGGGTGGCTCCTGAGGAGCACCCAGTGTTGCTCAGCGAAGCCCCCCTCAACCCTAAAGCCAACCGAGAGATGATGACTCAGATCATGTTTGAGACCTTCAGTGTGCCAGCCACATATGTTGCCATTCAAGCTGTGCTATCCCTTTATACTTCCGGCTGTACTACAGGCACTGTGATAGACTCTGGAGATGGGGTTACCCATTCAGTACCCATCTTTGAAGGCTATGCCATGCCCCATGCTATCCTTCGGATGAACCTTGCTGGCCGGGATTTAACTGACTATCTCATGAAAATCCTGACTGAGAGGGGCTACAGCTTCATCACTACAGCTGAGCAAGAGATTGTGCGTGATATCAAGGAGAAGTTGTGCTATGTTGCCCTGGACTTTGACCAGGAAATGTCCACCACTGCTGCCTCCACTTCATTGGAAAAAAGCTATGAACTACCTGATGGGCAAGTGATTACCCTAGGCAATGAGCGGTTCAGATGCCCTGAGGCCCTCTTCCAGCCATCTTTCCTGGGTGTGGAGTCCTGTGGAATCCATGAGACTAACTTCAACTCTGTTATGAAATGTGATGTGGACATCCAAAAAGACTTGTATGCCAACACTGTGCTGTCTGGGGGCACCACCATGTATCCAGGTATTATTGACAGGATGTACAGGGAGATTGTTACCTTGGCACCAAGAACCATGACAATCAAGATCATCGCCCCTCCAGAACGTAAATATTCTGTCTGGGTTGGTGGCTCTACCCTGGCCTCTCTTTCCACTTTCCAACAGATGTGGATTAGCAAACTGGAGTATGATGAATCTGGGCCATGTGTCGTTCACCGCAAGTGCTTCTAGTGGGACTTTCCAGCAGATTATTACTGGAAAATGAATCTACTGCATAACCATTTAATGCTTCCTTGACAGAGATAGTAGGAGATCTGTAGCCAGACTCCTTACCTTTCCTATTGTGTAGTGACTGTCTTCCTTATCTTTAATGTGGGAACAATCTCCTTTGACAAGATTAGATGGATGATGACAAGGAAATAAGCCTTAATCTCCTAGCATGATAATTGCTCTCACTTTGTACTGGAATATTGGCTTTTGAGGCTGACGGATACCTAGTATCTTGCTTATCTGAGGCTGATGCCATAGACTTCATGAAAAGACTGGCTATGGACCTGGTAAATTTTCCTTCAAGCTGTCTACTGGACAGTGTGAAAGGGAATACTTAAAAATCACTTCCCTTAGTCCCTAAACGCCAATGTAAACTAGGTCTCTGGGAAATTTAATTCCCTTGCAGTCTCACTCGTAACAAAAAGAGCTCAACTAGGCTGCTGAGAAGTGCGGGGGGAGGGGTGTTTAATAAGCATGCTAGCATTTTGGTCAGACTGCAAAGACCAGTTATTCCCCTGTTGCTAGTGTATGTGGAAGCCAATCTCTTTAATGCTACAAGGCTTGTTCCATCTTGATGAGCTAGTAATATAACAGATCATGAATTTCGTACAGGTTTGCGGGGGGGGGGGTTTGGTTTGGTTTTGTTTGGGGGTTTTTTTGGTTTTTCCCACAAGCTTTTCTATTCAATGAACGTGGATGATGTTGACTAAATCTCTTACCAACACTTTTCAAATATAGTGCCCTTTCAGGTAGGACTCGCTAATGATGTTAAAGCGTAGCTCTAGTGAAGTACAAAGAGGCATGTGGTATGTGCGTATGTGAGACGGTGAGGAGTTCTGCTATGTTTTTGTTTTATTTATGGTAACTCTCGGTGTTTATTTAAGGACTCCCAGACAATCGCCACATCATACTGGCTTGATCTACTTAACGACTAGTATATCTCCATCATAGAAGCCCCTCTTTAAACAATCAAAGAATCGACATTTATGTTGAGTTCTGCTCTCCCTATTAATGGCAATTTTGGATATAATACAACACAGACTAACTTTTTTTTAATTGCAAGAAACCTAACATGTCCTTTTATCACTGAAATTAAAAATTCTGAATAAACAGAAAGCATTCTACTCTTTCTGAATATCTAATCTCTAGCCACATTCCCTTTACCTCACTAGCTGGTTCCTGGTCCCTTTACCCTCAATTCCCCACAAGAGTAATACTGACAAATGGGAGAAATACACTCCCTAACTCCGTCTTCTGTTCACACAAGTAAGTATGAAAGAAGGCCACCTGCCATGAGTAACCAATGTACTATCCTTATAGTGATCTCAACTACAATTTTTCTTTTACCTGCACATCTAGCTATGCTGAACAGAATACACTTATGGAAAAAACTATACTATGCAAACAACTATATCCTGATGTATACTCTTTCTATTGCACAATGAATTGGTATAGAGAGAACCAAGCATGTTCAAAAATAGTTTTCCTTTATTGGGGTTTTGTGTGTGTGTGTGTGTGTGTGTGTGTGTGTGTGTGTGTGTGTGGTTTTTGTTTTGTTTTGTTTTTTTCCACCCTCACCCCCAAACTAACTGGATATCAGTTCCTGAGTATGAGGGAAGAACATAAAACTAACTCAAGAGCTACCCACTCCCTACATGGAGCATCACTGACTTCTCTGGGGCGGGATTAGACCCTACAGAGGTTCACTGCAGAATCTTTTAGAAGCATTAAAAGAGTGAGTGCTAGCTCCTAGGAGTTAATTGCTTCCCCTTTACCTGATCTAAATATCTGATTTAATTAAATAACTTCCTGTCTAAATACTTTACCTGATAGTCATTGTGGACCTTGAACTGTTCTAGAGAGTCCAGTCTTTCTGTCAAAACATCTGACAAAGACCTCAACACTGAAATATTGTGAAAAAACTCTCCAAGAAAATCAGAAGTGAATCTCTTCACCTCTGCACTCTCTCTGTTAAATGGAATAAAATAAATATTGCCACCACTAAATATGAGCGAATAAATGTTCAGATTTTCCCAACACCACCACCAACTCCCTCCCAAAACAGTATTTTGTTCCTGTGTGCGACTCTCTAAATGTCTTTGCTTTTGCAACAGTTAGGCCACATGGGGGAAAAACAGAAACCAACAGTTTATCCCTTTCACTCTTCGAAGTGAGACTCATTGGTTTTCCACAGATATACTTTGATCCAGCTTTTGGCTCAGCTAGTGAATAGGGTGGCAAGCACCCTGATGTAATACAGAGGCTCTCTACTTTGGTACTGAGCTGGCATATCTCCATTCAGGGTTGTATTACATGCCAAATTTGTGGTCTGGAGAGAATCCTCCCCTGGGTAAGACTGGAATGGACCTTACAGACTTCTTGGTTTCTCTGGAGAGATCTGAATTTGCTTGCTGAGGCAATCTTCACACATTTCACCTAACCATTTCCCTGCTATTGGAAGGACCTCAGAGATAGGTGGCATTTTAGTCTCTACATGTGGCACATATTAATTTAGTTTCCTAAACAATTTAAATTCTCTAATGGCATTGAGCTGGATATAAGGAATCTGGAAGAAACTTTGCTGTGAGATTTAAAGGAAGATGGCCAAGATCATAAACTTCTTCTGGATTTAAATCTTATGAAACTCTGATACTTCTTAAGTTTTGAAAGGGGAGGCCAGATGACTGCCAAAACTTAAAGTAGTGATAAAAAGGAAACTAGGAAAGGGCAGGGGGAGCAGAAATACTAGACTTCTTCATTCTGGCACACTTAATAGTAAATAAGGAAAATAGAGTGGAGTGGGAAAAAATGTTAAAGTCACCGAGGTGGGAGAAACATGAAACAGAAGACACTTGCATCTTTCATGAAACTGCTCTTCCACTTGCAGAAAAGATCTGGCTACAATGTCTGTTTCCCTCTCAAGGTCCAGCCCTCCACTTGCTATTCCTGGTACCTGTCTACAGTAAGAGCAGAGAATGTCAATACAGATGCTCTTAAAACATCAAGGTTAAGTACAGGCGTTTGGGGAGGTAAAGGGGAGGTTAAATTGAGTTAAAAAATGACCACCCAATCTAAGGTAAGTCAGGATGGGGAGGGCTTGCTGGGGGGGAAGGGGAGTTAGAGGATCTTTGGGGGAGGATTGGGATCAATTGAGGTCTGCAGGGGGATTGGTACAGTCCAGGAGGGTTTGGTACAATCAGAGGAACTAACAGTTTGCAGAGGAGCTTGAGGGGAGGATGAGGGGAGGGTCTCCTGCCCAGGACTAGCAGCTACGTTTAGGTCCCAGACTTCCCCCCCCCCCCCCACAAAAAAAAACCCCCCT